TAAATGATTTGTCACCAATCAAATTTGTATTTTGACTCAAGTTGAAATTTGATAAATAATTGTAGTTAAAATTTATGTGGTGTAGAATGTGCCACATCATTTGGGGCCAAATTTTGTGCACCAATTTGGTGTAAATAGCATCAACCTTTACCTTTAGTTGTTTTTTGGTTTATTTTTAGCTACGTCTCATGTAACTCCATTTTGATCTCACTTTACCCCTGTAACTCAAAAGTCACCACTTTACTCCTTGAAACTCAATTTCGAGTTCCAAGAGGTAAAGTGGAGCGAAATATGAGTTTTAGAGAGTAAAGTGGTGACTTTTGAATTACATGAAGCAAAGTGAGATTAAAATCAAGTTACAGAGGGCGTAACTAAAAATAAGCCTTGTTTTTTTTTTATTGAAATTTGGTTTAATGCCTATAAAAGACTATCATTGTATAATAAAAATTAGGGTAAAAGACTGTTTACTACCCTCATGTTTTGTGGTTTTCAACATTTGGTACATCAAGTTTTTTTTGTCTCAAATTCATACCTAAAATTTAAATTTTGGGACAGTCTCATACATCCGTTAGTCAAATTGTTAAATCTGCCATTAATTGTGACGTGGCGCCATGATTGGGCGCCACGTGTCATCCATGTTTTTTTTCCTTTTCTTTTATTTTGTTTTCTTCTTCTTTCTTCTTCTTCCTTCTTCTTCCTTCTTCTGCAACTTTTTTTTTCTTCCTCCTTCTCCTTCTTCCTTCCCCTTCTTCTCCTTCTTCCTTCTTCTTCCTTCTCCTTCTCCTTCTTCTTCTTCTTCCTCCGAATCTGGGGAATTTTTTTTTTCTTTTTTTTTCTTCTTCTTCTTCCTCCGACTGCAACTTTTTTTTTTTCTTCCTCCTTCTCCTTCTTCCTTCCTCCTTCTTCCTTCCCCTTCTTCTCCTTCTTCTTCTTCTTCTTCTTCCTCCGAATCTGGGGAAGATGAGGTTTTTTTTTTCTTCCTCCTTCTCCTTCTTCCTTCTTCCTTCCTCTTCTTCTTCTTCTTCCTTCTTCTTCCTCCGAATCTGGGGAGGATGAAGGTTTTTTTTTTTTTTCTTCTTTCTTCTTTCTTCTTTCTTCTTCTTCCTCCTTCTTCCTCCTTCTTCTTTACCTTCTTCCTTCCTCCGTCTTCCTTCCCATTCTTCTTCTCCTTCTTCCTTCTTCCTTCTTCCTTCTTCTTCATCTTCCTCAAAAAAAAAAAAAAAAACCTTCATCTTCCCCAGATTCGATGAAGAAGAAGAAGAAGAAGGAAGAAGAAGGAAGAAGGAGAAGAAGGGGAAGGAAGAAGGAGGAAGGAAGAAGGAGAAGGAGGAAGAAAAAAAAAAGGTTGCAGTCGGAGGAAGAAGAAAGAAGAAGAAGGAGGAAAAAGGAGGAAGAAGAAGAAAAAAGAAAAAAAAAAAAAAAAACTTCCCTAGATTCGGAGGAAGAAGAAGAAGAAGGAGAAGGAGAAGGAAGAAGAAGGAAGAAGGAGAAGAAGGGGAAGGAATAAGGAGGAAGGAGGAAGGAGGAAGGAAGAAGGAAGAAAAGAAGAAAGAAGAAAAGAAAAAAAAAACGTGGATGACACGTGGCGCCCAATCATGGCGCCACTTCACAATTAACGGCAAATTTAACAGTTTGACTAACGGATGTATGAGACTATCCCAAAATTTACACTTTAGGTATGAATCTGAGACGAAAAAAACTTGATATACTAAATGTTGAAAACCACAAAACATGATGGTAGTAAACAGTCTTTTACCCTAAAAATTAATTTCATTTGTTTTAAGTGGTTGTTTATTTATCTATGGGCTTGTTCGGAAATGTTTTTAAAATGACTAAAAGTGTTTTTAGAGAAAATATTTTTGAGTTTCCAAAGCACTTAAAGTGTTTCATGCAAGAAGCACCAGCTATGTGCTTTTTGCAAGAAACACCAGTTATGTGCTTTCTGGAAAAAGCATTAGTTATGTGATCTTTGTAGGAAGTACTTCAAGTATTTTTCCAGGATTCACTTGCATTTCTACTAAAGCTTAGTTTCAAAAACATTTTCACAAAAAAGACTTTCAGCCATTTTAAAACCAGTTCCAAACGATCCTATTAAAGCAAAATGCCTTAAACATTCACAAAACTTCAAACTTGCCCTTCGTTTATAGGCCATTGAAAAAACAAAAGAAATCATATATTGGGGTTAGTATCCTAAAATCATATCCTTGTACAAACCCAAACCCAAATTGTAAAAGACAAATGTACTCCAACACGTTCTATTTCGTCCTTATTTAGCCTCGGTTTTTATTTTTTTATTTATTTTATTTTATTTAACAAATGATATTATTTAAGGGGAAGGAGGGTGGGCTTAGCCTCACAATGAGTTAGCAATAATGTGGTTTAAATTCGTCTTTGACGAGAATTGAATTAAAAACCTCTCATTTACAAATAAAGAAGAATACTACTAGACCAAACATAGGCTTAAATATCAATTAAATACAATCAGATTGTCAAACATTCGTCCCACAGAGGAAGTATAGTCCTTCACTACAAATAGCACGCAGATGACTCTCCTCATGTTACACTAGAGAAACCCAACTTTGCCCCAACTGCCATGCTTTTTCTCGAGCGGCCAGAAATTTGACATGTTCAGCAGCCCTAATATGATCAACCTTCATCACGCAGCACAACACCCACGCCGGCCCAAAAGGATTTTAGGAGACCAAGAAAGACACAGAAGCTGCATTAGCATTGAAAAGCTTCATGGCCTAGCTGTATTAAGCATGAGTTTTGGTGATAGAGATCTCATTATTGTTTAGTACATACAAGTTTGTTTAGGTATTCACATCTTGTTCTCTCTTCCTGCAAAGTTTATAGGCAAACGATCAAGAGAGAGCCTCAGATAGGGTTGTCCTTGTGCCATAAACAATTACAAAAGTATGTTAGACTTAACGCAATTCCCCTATTTTATGAGTGTGTTGTTGCATGGGGCAACCCTACTTAAGAATTTCTCTTCTTAGATAGGGCTGTCGTTATGCCATAAACAATTACAAAATATGTTAGACGTACACAATTCCTCTATTTTATAAGTATGTTGTCACATGGGGCAACCCTACTCAAGAATTTCTCTTAAGGAAATAGACTAAGGAATTATCGAACTTGTCTGCATGTACATGTCTCCAAAAAGCCTCAAGACTCCAATTACAAGTACTAATTTCAGCAGCCCCCAAAACTCTGATTATTTGCTCAACCCTAAACATATCTGAGCTGGGAACATGTAAGATTGAGCCACGCAACCCAGGCCAAATTTGGCATCCCAACATATATAAAGTTAGGTCACAACTCACACGGTAACATTACCAAGATTGCTAAACCCCAAAATTTAAATTTAAATTTTCATTTCATTTGACCAAAATTTGAAATTAGGGGGAGAGTGAGCTCAACTCAACTGTGAAATATATTACAGATATCACAGCCTTGTTGCAACAAACGCGGCTATGAAAACCCACCAAGCGTGGCGTTGGGGTTAGAGAACCACTTGGTTGCATAGTATATAGCAGCAGCAGACTATATATCGAGGATTGTTAGTAATATTTTTGTTTTACTTATTTATTTTGTAATATTGTATGATGACTTAAAACGTTTATTTTTAGATGACTCCAATATTAGTTTTGCTAAAAATAAACTAAATTTGAATCAGTCATTTAAAACAGTTATTCAATAAATAGACGAACTATGTTCTTTTAATTAAAACAATAAAATTTTGACAACATTAATCAAACGATTTCTGATTTGATTAAATTCTTTTGTAAAGTTATTTCATAAAATATTTCCTAAAAAGCAGATAATTCCGATTCTCGTTAAATATTATAAGATAAGAAGAACAGTGGAAAAGATAGAACCAGAAAGTATTAACCATCTTTCTAAGAGCAAAGATAACATAATTTCGTGTGTTATAAACTTATAATATTTGCGTAGATCTAACATTCCGTAGTTCTCAAACTTCATAACTTAATCGTACATTATTTCATTATAAATAACAAATCTCGAAGCCCATGCAAAATAAATAATATATACGTGAATCGAAAAGTTCACACTTGGGCCACGCCCACAGCATGCACGGCATTCCATATGAATATACGGTACGAAATGTAGGCCATTCCACAGACCATAAATCCTCCCCTCTTTTTCAAACTCCCAAGCAACCCTCTTTCAACATCCAATTCCATTCCTCACCTTGCTAATCACCTGGCTCTACACCATTGTGGCCCCAACTCCATACGAGAAAATCTTATTGTGTGGTGCTAGAATACCAGTTCATAGTACAATCAGTTCTCGTGGTATAATGATGATTGACGATCATTGGAGCATATAGGGAGAGGAAATTGAAGCACTTGGTAAGTGACAGTGTCAGGTGACATTAATTAGTTAAAAACAGTCATGATTTCAGCCGTATTCTTTAATTGAAATGCTAAAGAGGATAATGTTTAGAGAAATGATAGGAGAGTTGCAAAGATGTTAATCACAATGGATCGTGAACCCACCTACAACAAAACACAAGAAGCCACAACTTAATGTTGAACACACCACAATATCATTTTTGCATTCATGTGAGTCAAATTTAAGATACTCTCCAACTAGATCAACTAATATAAAGACCGTATGTTGTTAGACCAATTGATCTTGTATAAACTATAAAGATGACAATATTAAATGACATGACGATTATTGTTAAATATAAACACATACAATTGTTCAACTAGACAGTTATACCATTTAGCGGTGCCACGTGATAAGATAGCATCCCCACACAAACATTTCTCCTATTTGACATGGCATTTCATGAACTTCACTTTGTATGGAACCCATGTATGAGTCATATTACACTACTAAAACCCTCTCTCACTTGCTCCCAAAAAAAAAAAAAAAAAAAAAAAAAAAAAAAAAAAAAAAAAAAAAACCTCGCTCACTATTCTATTTACCACTAGCATATAAGCATAGGCAACAAAAATACCAAGTACTTGCTAGGCAGTCTCATCAAACCTGCACTATTTCTTCTTCCTGTAGTATAAATTTCTATCCAAATATTCTCTGCAGTTATCAGCAGTTTCGGTACTGGCAATGTTACCTCTATTTCTACCTTCCTTTCTTCTCCTTGGACTCCTTAATTCCTTACCATTTTCTCATTCCCTCCATGGCCAACAACAAAAACTAGAACAACCCACTTTGCCTCCCAACCAGCTTTGCAATGAAAAATGTGGACAACTTCAACTACCCTTCCCATTTCACTTGAACAAGTCTTGCAGTTCAGTCTCTGATGCTTTCCACCTCTCTTGCCAAAACTCAACAACCCTTTTCCTCAACATTGGTTCCGAAAGCTACCGGGTGCTAGACTTCTTCTCTGATGGCCTACTAGTGGACTTTCCGGGCTCCTCTTCGTGCCGCCAGTACAACGACTTGAACTCCTTCGATTTCTTGGGAAATGACTATTTCGGAGTTGCGGTTGAAAATGTGGTTGGCTTATATGATTGTGAGGACTCTTCTTTGTGCAAGACAGATTGTGAAACAAATGACTTGCCTGGTTGTGATGGCAACGAGAACAGCTCTCCTGCTTGCTGCTACCCTCTCTCTGATCATAGCGTGTGGCATCTTGGTGACAAGTTTTCGGTTTTTGCCAAGTTTGGATGCAGGGGCATTTCCAGTTGGGTTGTACAAAGAGGGTCTAACTTGGGGAAGAGAGGGGTAAAATTGGAATGGGCAGTGCCAAAGAACTCATCCAAGGAAGTTTGTGATAGCAGTGCTTATATTACTAATGCAACAGTAGTTGAAGGAGGGGTGAGATGCATGTGTCCAGATGGGTTTCTTGGTGATGGCCTTGCAGCTGGTGCAGGGTGCTTGAAATGTGAGTATATTTTATGAAATTATTTTGTACATTTTTCACTTTAAAAATCACATTTTGAGTAATTGCCTCTAAGATTGAATTACCAAGTACGTCTTCAGAGGTCGTCGAGTCATTATTGGTGCATTTTGAGGGTTCGTTTGATAATCAATTCAGTTTTCAGGGCACTCTAAATTATTGGAAAAAAGAATTAATTTTCTTCTTTCTGCAGATTTATTCATTTTTTTTCTTTATGTGGTCTTTTGCTATTCTAACACGTCCCTTCATAAAGATACAGCGGTTTGATGTTCTTTAATCCATTGCATGCCTTTGAAGAAAATTGTACTTTTTTTTAGTAAATTAGAAAAACACTCTGACAACTATGTTAGAGTGTTCAATTGAAGAAAACAATTCCTCGACTGAAAACTTGTCATGTTCTCACTTATTCTTAGGTTCAAAATTCCTTCAGTGCCCGACTTCCGTTGAAATGTCGGTAGGGTTTTTTTATTTCTTTTATGAAGTATTAGACATGAAATGTTTTTTGTGCAGTGTAATGTTCTCAGAGTCTTCTATGTCAAAAGCCCTTTTATTCCTACACATTGTTGGTGTTGCTGAAAATTATAAGGTCAACACTAGTATAACAGTGGAATTACTTATATTTGACATGCCTTTGGCAGCATGCATCAAGGACAGAAAGGAAGCATATGGCAATGATTGCTTAAAGATAAAGCATGGTGGCCGGAAACTTGCAATTTTAGCCGGTAAGTGATGAAAGAATAAACAAAATAAACCCATCTCTCCATTAAAGCTTCCTATTCATTGTCATGGAATAATTTCATGACATGTTGAACTGCAGGAGTTCTAGCTCCAGTTTTCATCATAGCCTCCTTGATTTCACTTTTGTATATACTAAAGCGGCCTGCTAAACCCAGAACATTTGATCCTGCTCGGAAAGTCCATTTTCACAGCACCAAGTCATTCCGAAAAGCTAGTAGGACGCGGCTATTCACGTACCATGAGCTAGAGGAAGCTACCAAAGGGTTTGAGGTGTGTCAGAAACTTGCACATGGAAACAATGGCACAATCTTTGCTGGGGTTCTTGGTGACGGATCGCAAATTGCGGTGCACAAGGTAGAATGTGAGAATGAAAAAGACCTAATTCAAGTCCTATCACAAGTCGAGGTTTTATCTTCTGTTTTGCACCGAAATATCGCGCGATTTATTGGGTGCTGCATTGACTTGGCCTATACTCCACTACTGGTATACGAACATCCTGCGAATGGTACCCTCGAGGATCATTTGCATCAAAACGGAGGACAAAATGTTGCTCTTGACTGGTACAAGAGGCTGAGCATTGCTGCTGAAACAGCAAGTGTTCTTGCCTTTTTGCAATACGAAATTTCTCCTCCCATTTTCCACTGTGATCTCAAATCTGCCTACATCTTCATTGACGATAACTTTTCTAGCAAAGTTGCCGGATTTGGGCTACTGAATTCGAGTCCTGGAGATAGTTCTCAGTCACACAATCACGAAGGTTCGCGCTTTCAGCACAATGATGTTTACGCTTTTGGTGTCATGCTATTTGAGATGATTGCAGGCTCAAATTGCTTGGACTTGCCGGCAGTAGCCCTGCAAAAGATAAGGAGTGGGAAGGTGGAAGAGATTGTGGATCCACTTCTCTACTATCATGAGCAACCTTCGCACAGGCGCGAGCAGATAGAGGTGGTTGCAGACCTTGCCATGAGGTGCCTGTTGTTTGGTGGAGATGGGAAGCTGGGAATGTATGATGTTGTGCGCGAATTAGTACATATTAGAAGGGACAGCAGTGATGGAGGGAGCAAGAGAGGGCCTGGACTAGAGGAAACATTTTCGAACTCGAGCCTGCTTCAGATGATTTCGATGTCTCCTGATTCGAAATATGTGCCTTGAATTTGTTATAATTGGTAAAAAAATATGTGACTGCAGCTCAACAAAATTTGCAGTTCATTTCACTTTCCATAGAGGTTTTACATGTCTTTCTTTGCTGCTTCTATGTGTTGTACATCAGCTGATCAGAAGGGAATTCAAAGAGATCAAAACTTGCATCTCTTATATATCAAACCTGCCTGCCTGCCTAAGTGCATCAAACGAAACTCACATTGTTTGATCGAGAGTTGAAAAAATATAGTAACCCTCATGATATAAACTCTCTTTCCATGATGAGTAGTTTTTGAATCTGAAGCAAATTATAATTGTTAAAACCCCACATGGAGAAAAATTTCATGCAATTCAAAATACTTGACATAGGTTATGGTAAACCGTGTATCTTCCTCTACAGCCGAGAAATGTTTGAGTGTGACAGTCACATCACAACAGAATTCAATTAGTAACATAATGTGGAGGTTGATTAAGACAACCTTCTGAGTCTTAGATGCAATTGATTTGGACGTGCTAATTAATTTAGGAAACATTTGTGGATTTTCCAATGATGCAATTTAAATTGTTAATCCTCCTGTTCAAGCACCCAAATTTCATCCAAAATATTGCTCAACTTATCGGCTAAAACCAGCAATAATAGAGGCCTCATCAACACGAGTATGAGAAAATTATAAGCTAGGATGTTATAAGTACCAGTTTGGAACTGAGATGATTTTTAAAAAAATGTGGTATGAAAAAAAGTTGGGAGAGTTTTTGGTGTTTGGTAAACATCCCAAAACAGCTTTATTTCAAAGTTTTAGATGAAAAAAGCTAAAAACCGGAAGCTGCAAAAAGCAGCTTATTCTGAAAAACACAGGTGAACACTAAATCGGAATAATGAATTTTTCAATTTGCCAACATTGCCCTCCTTTCTCCTACCTTTCTCACGCTTTCACTCTCGCACGCCATTTTCGAACCCCAACGACCTCTTGACCCAAATCTGAAAGAAGCCATTTATCTCTCTCGTTCTCCAGCTCGGTGTCCTGCGTCCTTCCTCTGGTAAGCTTCTCTTATCTAAAATTTCGTTATTTATTTGTTTGGATTTAGAATTTGGGGATGGGAGAGTGAGTGAAAGAGGGGTGGGAAGAGGGAAGGGATGAGTGTATGGGTGTCAAGAAAAAAAATTGGGGATTGAGGGCTGGGAAAAAATTAATTGGGGAAGGTGATATGGTTTGTGGAAAATTTAATTGGGGAGAAAAATTAGGGTTTGTGGAGAAACCATGAGGATAATTAAAGTTAAATCTTGTAAGGCTTCCTAGAGAAACATCAAGAAACCTTTAGAAGGTTTCTCTGCATATCGGTTTAAGCCAAATTATATATATACTAAAAGAGAAAATAAACTGAAACACTGTTCATAAGCACAATGTTCTCCCAATTTTACCCCTACTTGATTTTTTTTTAATTTCATTTCTGCCAGGTTTACACATGGTGGACACGTATTTTTGATCGTGGACGCGTATTCTCTCTCAGATTTCTTGAGCTCTCTCTCGAAGGTTCAGTAAACCTTTCCATTTCCTTTCAATGCAGATCTCTCCAATTGGAACCCACGAACAACAAACACAAATCCACCCAATGTCTTCCTTCTCTCTTCCTCTCGCTCACCTTTCTGCTTTCTTTCTCTATAAAATTCCATCTCTCTCCAAAATTCCATTTCTCTCTCCTCCTTCAAACCACTTTATCTCTCCAGAAGTCCATCGCCACTGCCCTTTCTCTAATGGTTGAATTTGGGTCTGCATAAACCTTTGATCTGTTATTTGTAGGGCTTTGAAAAGGGTAAGCTGATTTGATTAGAGAAGATTGAGAATCTGAGAAAAAAAGAATCTTTTAAATTTTTATTCCTGTCATTTTGATGTCTTATTTTTGTTGTATTTTAATTGCAGAGGATGAGCATGATGTTGTTTGGTTTTGGCTGGAGAAAGGGAAGCCACATGAATGCCCAGTTTGCACACATTAGTTTGTGGTAAGTGGAGGCTTGAACTTGATGTGATAGAATTTTTATTTTATTTTTTTTTTCCAACTTCCGACGACTTTTATGTTATTATTTGGATTATGATCCAATGGCATGTCGTTGGAACTACTGGTAGTGTTTTGAAGGAACAAGAAGACACATAATAGAACTTGAATAAGAAGAAAAAAGAAGAAAGCCAACTTTTCAACTGATAAGCTAAAATCAATCCCCTTGATCTCCTCATCGGCGGCAACGGCGACCAGCAGGTTCACCTTTTTAATTTCATTTTAATTTTTCTCCTTTTAGTCGATTTAAGAAATGAAGAATCTGGAAACGTTAGGCACTCCAAACGGTTGACCAAATTTAAACTGAAAATTGAGCCTATTTGAGAGAGTTAATTAGTGAAGAATGCTTACTTTTGTTACCTAGAGGTGTTTATAAAGAATCTGATGTAACATATAGTATTAACAAGAAGCCTATCACAACATCCCACAGTCTATCATAATCTCTGTATACCATTTTTTCCCTGATATCGTGTGTCCTGCAAAACTTATTTTTTGTGCAGATTAATTCAAAATCATGCTATGGATATACATGGGAAATTGCAAACAAGTTTCCATCTATCCTAGGTATCTTTTTTTCTCTCTGTTTTATGTGTTTTTTTACAATTAGTTTGTCTATCTGCTCTGGCTTTAAAGAAAGGATCTGAAATTTACACTGCTCGGTAATTTTTAAACATTGAAAACAATAGAAAGTTAGTTGTTGTATGCAAGTTTTTGAGAAAATGGTATTGAGAATCTGATAATTTGGGAGATGCAAGGTTTAAAAAAAATAGTATTGAGAATCTGATAATTTGGGAGTGAGCGATCATAGGACCAAAACGAATCAGAATTGTTATTTCCGACAGCGCTTCTTTATCTCAACTTCAGGCCTTTCCTAGCTTAGTTTGAGAACCAGAATGTAGTTTTCGTTTTTAGAATATTGTCATTTGACTTGCTAAAAATATTTAGGGACCTAAGTTTATATGGTGCTCTCATCTATGTGATGCAGAGCTGATCAAATTTTATTACTAATTAAACTATTGTTTACTTACAAAGATGTCATTAACTTTCAATTGGCTTTTGCAGTACGCTTGGAACCAAGCTGAATTTGATATCATTAAGCTAAAGACAAGAATTAGTCCATTTCCATCTCAAAAAGTAGCAGATGGCTATTAAACCACCATGCATCAGGTAACCATCACGCTCAGATTGCATTCAATGGCTATCTAGACCAAAAGAACCTACAGTAGATCATTACTAACTCGGGGTAGATTGAAAAGAGTTAAGGTCTGGCGGGCTTTTACAGTTTAGGGAAGAATACCAAGATTTACATTTTGTTTAACTCCATGAATAAACATGTGCATTTTGTTAACAGGAGTGAAAACTATTGTATAAAACATTTTCCAAGGGGTTTTGTTGATTATACCACTGTGAATTTTATATAGTGTTGATAGATGAAACCCAGGAAGGGGTAAATGCAAAGCTTAACCTTTGGAGAGAAGTGTTGGAATCTAAAGGTCTTCGCCTAAGCCGATCAAGGACAGAATATATGGAGTGCAAGTTTAGTGCAAATGGAGGCCAAAATGAGTTAGGGGTGAGGATCGGAAATCAGGAAATACCAAAGAGCGACCGTTTTCGCTACCTAGAATCTATCTTGCAAAAGAACGGAGAATTAGATGGAGATCTCAACCATAGAATACAAGCTAGATGGATGAAGTGGAAGAGTGCATCCGGCGTGTTGTGTGACCGCCGTATGCCACTGAAGCTCAAGGGAAAATTTTATAGGACGGCAATAAGGCCGGCGATGCTGTATGGCACAGAATGTTGGGCGGTGAAGCATCAACACGTACACAAAGTGGGTGTAGCGGAGATGAGGATGCTTCGTTGGATGTGTGGGCACACGAGAAAGGATAAGATTAGGAATGAGGATATCCGAGGTAAAGTAGGAGTAGCCGAAATTGTAGGAAAGCTGAGAGAAAATCGGTTATGGTGGTTTGGACATGTGCAAAGAAGGCCTACTGACGCTCCGGTTAGAAGATGCGACTACGGGACAGAGGTTCAGGGCCGAAGGACATGACACAGGATCTTACGGAGGAGACTTAGAGTACTTGGATCTTACGGAGGACATGACACAGGACCGAGCACAATGACTTTCTAAGATTTATATAGCCAACCCCACTCAGTGACTTGGATTTTTCAAGTCTCCAACCGAGAAGTTTTCCTCACTCGGGAAATTAAGGGAACACTACCTCAACCTACATGCTCCACTCACAAAGCTTCAACATACAAGCTTCAACAAAAGAAAAAAAATCAAAGAACTTAGTGAAGAAGGCTTTGGTGTATTTAACATAATACGTTGAAATGAAGCAAAGCTTATTTATTGATATCTCCGATAAGTTACAAATATGTACATATACATGAGTAAAAATAAACAAACAAGAGGGAGTCTTCACAAAGGTTGCTTAGGAGAAGTCTCAGCAGTCGGTACAGCCCTAGAAAGAGAAGGCACCGGAGAGGGATCATTAGGAGCCTCAATACTGGACAGAACCCTAGAAGGAGGAGGCATCAGAGGTTGATCATTTGGAGCTTCATTACGCGGTACAGCCCCAGAAGACGAAGGTAATAAATTCCTTTGGAACAAACCCACAAACCTCTGATGATCAAGTAAAATTTGACCATCAGATTCCTTCATCTGGTCAAGCTTCCTCTTCATGTTTGTAGCATAGTCATATGCGAGCCGGTGCAACTGTTTATTCTCATGCTTGAGCCCTCTAATCTCCTGTTTGAGACTCATCACTTTAGCCGCCAATGATTCAACTTGGCGGGTTCGAGCAAATAGGCGTTGGGCCATATTAGACACCGAACCTGCACACTGAACACTCAGAGCCAGAGAATCCTTAACAGCCAACTCATCAGACCGTTTGGAAAGTAGTCTGTTATCTTTGGGAGTGAGAAGGTTCCTGGCCACCACCGCAGCGGTCATATCATTCTTCATCACGGAATCCCCAACGGTAAGAGAACCAGTAGGGGATAAGAAGGATGGGCGCCATATGTTGTTTGGAGAAGGCGTGACTGCCTCTTCAACAAGGTTCAAGTCAAAACGACGGTC